GTAAATATGAAGAGAATTATTCTAGATATTTCTGGAACTCTAAAGCATTTGATTGGTCAAAAGAACTGGAACACGAAATGCGAAAAAAAAACACACAATTTGCTCCAGTCCAAGTGTGATTTTGAACTCCAGAAATATTTGAACGTCAAAATATTTAACTGGACACACAATTTTACGTTGTTTGAATTATAAAATGAATTATTTTTCTGTTACTACACAGTTGATGGCTGAACAAAGCACGCCAAACATAAATGCCCACGATGCTGTCTACATCGACGGATTTGTTATTCGCAATGCATCATGGAATGAAAATGAAAGATGTGTCGATAAACTCCGGGAAGCTGGGAATCAGAGAATGCCAACATTTGTTTTAAAACCATTGGAAGAAAGCTTACATGTTGTGAAAAGTAAACGTAAACATAAAGAGCTAAGAATTCCAGTTTACCTAAAGGAAAATCATATTAATGGACTCGAAACTGTTCCTGTTTTATCATTTATGACACTTTCGTCGAAATTGTCGCCGAATATGTGCAAACGACAACAGGTTTTCATTACTAGTGCGACTTTATGACATTTTTTATTATTCCTTTGGCAGTTTTTTTAATTATTCTTTGAAACATTGTATTTTATATGTAGACAGACTGTGGATTTATAAATGTACCATTTTTTTAATTGACAGCTATGAACTGAGTACATATATAACTTTTACAGAATGGCAGGCCACCATCTGTTATTTGAATCATGTACTTTATGTAAGTTTTGATTTTATTTAATTAAAGCTGAGTGATTTGGTTGAATTGTTGTCTTAATAATAGATCATGGATGATCACGATTGATGAATATAGCTGGGTTAAATTTTATGCTATACATTTAAGTTATTTTAACTGCGTTTTGCTCGTTGCTTTCAATGAAAAACCAAGCTGGTCTCTTCAGAAATAAATACGGCGTCAAATTTTGTGAAGTGACTTTTTATTTGCTAAAGAAAAGATTACTTTACTGAAGAAAACAATCATAAATGAACACTTTCGAATTTTGCAGCGGGCATTAAAAAAACCTACCTCGATTTAACTTACTTTTCTTTATCAGCTAAGCGCAATTTGGGAAGCATAACTTTAAATATAATTTACAATGTTGGTGGTCTGATTTCAAGTTGTATTTTTCTCATCAACGTGGGTGTGAGACACTGTTTGATAATATCACATCATGATAGCACAGAATAGACATCTAACAGAAGGCCCACTCTGCTAAAATCGTGGCGTATTTTTTCACTACGCATGCGTGATTTCCCAGCAAGATACTTTCACGAAATCAATATGGAATAGTATTGCACGATAATGTTATTTTACTAATAATTCACGTTTAAAGCAAAAGTTTGCCGAAATTTTTACAAAATGTTATCATCTTGCAAAGACGATGAGTTCCAAGCTTTTGTAGTGCAAAACGATGTATTTGTTAAAACATCTATATTTTCTATTGCGATCTCCTTAGAACTTGCTTCAGAAAAGTAGGGGACACGAACATCAAAAGTTCCGAGATGAGTGGACCTTAAGATATCTATTCTGTGATGCAGATTGCAAATCAGGAATTCAAAGCACGCAAAACCTTGAGCTTATTGAGTCTATGGAGCGGTTTGAGTTCTTTTATATGAACTTAGGTCTTATCTTGACTTGCAACCATTCTCTTGAGATTTGCCAAACAATGTTGCTCGCCCACGCCGGCTGTTGCCAACGATAACTCTGATAAAATATTCTTTTGTATCAGACCACCAACATGGCTGAATTGCAAGTCAAGAATAGCGTTCCCAACAGCAATTAATGCTCCAATCGATTTTTGAAACCCCATGTATACGAAACTCTGAGCAGTGATTAATAATATTGCTTCAGAATGCACTCAATAGAAGCCTAATTCTGCTGCTTTTGATTATTTCCTCCATATATTACATCATGTTGACAAATCTCGATTACTTGTACTGTTCGTCGTGCATGTTAACATGTATTTTATCCCTCTGGCACCAACAAACAACTGAGGCATTCAAATTTAACAATGAAATCGTTAACGTCGACTTCAGACGCTTTCTTGGGGTTGTCCCCGTACTTGAAATTAATTCGTCACGCGTGCCTGTCGCAAATACGCAATTGTGGTGACAAATGCTCTTTTGAAGAACCATGAAGACAGTCATCGGTCATCCAATGCAGTCTTTGAAGACATATTACAAACTTTCATCGACCGCTGGCTTTCGTCCACGTTGTATTCAAGGTTAGCCAGACGTTCATGGATAGTTTTATACATTTGATCAATGATCGTGCATGCACTTATAAAATATTTTCCAATTTCATACCTCTTGATTAATGATTAATTGAGCATTTTACATGAAACCGATCGTCGAAATTCGTCTGTACGCTGTTCTCTGTGAATATAGTGTCACTTGTTTGATGATGTAAAATAGGAAATGTCTTAGATTGAAGCTATTAGAGTTAAACTTAGTTCACTGTACTTTACTGTACTTTACTGTACTTTACTGTACAAACTTTACTAGATAATGAAAATTGCTCATTGTCTATTATTCCTACCGAGTTCGCCACTTGACTGTATTCATGTTATTCAACACAAAGATTAAGGTTTAAATTTCATCTTCACTCGAGAGTAAAATAAAAATATTGAAGTATTATTTAGCCTTGAGGAATCAAAGTTTTATGAACAACTTAATTTAGCCATAATTAAACTCATAGCTTAATAAGGGTTGAAATACTTTCTTCACAAATGCTAAAATACTTGCTTAACAAAAGTTGAATCATTCATTTATCATAATATTAAAGCTGATGTAGAAATCGCAGCTCGAGTAAATTTTACTTGGCCATGATGAATGTCTGTGTGAGAGTTGAATACATCTCTTGAAAGTTTTGTTGAATGTCCAGAAATTATGGTTGCTTGGAGCACATTGTGTGCTGATGAATCTTTGCTATATTTTGAACAAAAAAATAGACAATAAATTTGCAAAAAGATTTTAGATGAAAGTTTCAAGCCAAATAAGACAGTTGACTTGTTTGTGAATCATGAAAGTTAAATGTCTGGAATGCATTTAATGAGAAGTGAGAGCTCCCTTAACTTTCAATTCGTTTTCACGTTCGTTTTCTCCGATTCGGCCATATCAACTTTTCACATTTCTTATAAAGAAGCACTTGTAAACGGCAGGGGGAAGCTCATAGGATTTTTTACAATATTTTGTGGTCATGACAAAAATACGACGTACGTCAAGGTTGTCGTCTTCACTAAATACAACTCGCTCGAGTCAAAGAAACCCAAATTCCCATCAAACATCAGAATTTAATGCAATCGCCAGCATTACATGGGACTACAAATGAATTCCGGGGGGGTGCAAATGCTTTCTTTATAACCTGCAATTATCCCTGGTTGGTAATCATGGCCAATTTTCTTATTAAGTAAAGCTCGTCGTTATTGCTCTCAGTAAATTAAGTTTATATTATCCATTTTTGATTGATGTCTGTTGATCATTAAAATTTTTTCCAACGAACAGAAAAATATGCACCACCAGGTTTTCTAGAACTAAAGTATTTTTGCTTACTGCTATTTCCTTGAAAAAAATATATGTGCAGAATTCTTTAATCCCAAGTGCTAAAAAATATATTTTTCTTTAGCCTCGAGGCAAAGTCAGTCCAGGAATAGGAAAGTTTGAAATGTCTGTACGACATGTTTAATTGAACCTGGACAGAATATTCAACATTCGTACTCATTTGTTTCAATCTGGAGTTCAAACATGACTTTAAAGTCGAAATTGTGAACCAGGTAAGTTCTTTCTTCACAGCTTGCCGATTTCGAGATAGGAGCGAATTGCATTTCTACATACGTAATATTAGAAATTGAAAGAATGACCATTGATTGTTTGTACGTGTCTATTTTTCTTCAACATTTTTATGCAAAATGAGTCCCGATCGATTTTCCACAACTTGTGCTATTTTGCACGATGATTTTTTTGTAGTTGACCTACAGCATTTACCCTTCATTAAAAGAAAACGGGTATTCGATGAGACGTGTTACTGGACGTGTTGTATATTTAATAGCCGCGTTCCCAATTTCAAGAACAGCAATCAAATGTCAATTAAGCGTAAGTGAAGTTCAATAAAACAACAGTTTAATTTTCATGCCATGAATTAACTTTCGATTGAGCGACAGAAACAACAGTATTGTATTGAATTTAGCGTTTTGTTCTCGTGTAGTTGTACACAACGGCTGCTCAGTATGTCTCAAATATACTACGTCTATAGTTAATCACCAACGCAGGATATTTTCTGTTCAGACTAAGGGGGACGATGCAACCGTCAAAGGTGTGAGACTTGAATTGTGGTCCGAAGGCATTCCCCTTCGAAAAAATGTTTGATTGTTTTTTCTTTAAGACTCTATTTCTTTCAGGTAGGTTTAATAAAAATCTAAAAGCCCCGCGCTTTTAGAAGGGCAGTTTTATGTTTAATGTATCAAAAAGTGTATTTTAGTCAATCTTATAGACTGCGATGATTGAAGATTACTACCTCGACTTTTCTTTTTGACCGTTTACGGAAAGCAACGAAGGAGCAACGCACTATTTTCATTGCTGTTTGAAATTAGATTCATTGCCCACTCCACTCCTTTTCATTTAAATTCTCGAAATTGGTCTTTGGAATATTGGGGGGGGGACACTTCCCTTCAGTTCCCTCGCTGGCAACGCCACTGGTTTCAATTATCAGCTTTTCCCAAATATGAACAAAATTCGGATTGCTTTAACTCGTGTTAAATTGAAAATGATATGTTATTCAAGTTACATTCGTGTCTTGCTTATTGTTGCTTGTATTAATGTGCGTTTTTGTTTGTATCGCTCATTTGAAAGTTTAAAAATGGAATGAATGAAGTCGTTGTTTCAGTGAACTTCTCTTGCTCTTATTGAAATTAGAAAAGCTTTCTACAACTCGCCCTTTTGAATATCCTTTTCTCTAATACATGAAGCTGGATTCAACGTGAGACTACTGTTTATTTTCTGTTTGAAATGGAGAAAGCGTTAAAAGTTCCAATCGTGAAATTCCAATTGCATTATAATTACAGAATAGGTTTAAAAAATCGTCTCCAAACATACCCACGCACGCTTGCAATATTTACAACGAATATAAATTAAGGTGGCCTCATGTTACGGCTATAAATATTAATGTTTGGTGGTGGCAACAAGAAACATAAATACATTCACGTAAATTACATCAATTTCAAAACAAAAAATTAAATAACATATATATCGTTTGCAACTCAAGCTTTACCATGTATTGACTATCTATCTACATGTTATAATCTATCTGCACTCAAGTTTGTTGATAAGTAATTGATTAGACATTCTCTTCACAATTATTACCATTACGTCTACTCTCTTCCTTTTCGCATCCATCCAGTTGTGTATAGCTGCCTGTTTTTCCATGTGTAACTTTACTCATTGGCAAAAATACGATGTTGTTATTTGATTCTGCTTTGTAAGCTACACTTTCACTATATTTTGTTTCGTATGTTTTCATTTTGTCACTTGTGGTTTCTTGGTGAGAATTAATTTTCTTTGAGAAAAAGCAAATGATTAGGACGATGATGAAAATCACAAGTAAGGCAAAAAATGCTCCAAATATCACAGTAAGTTTGATGTTTGGCACTAGAAAACAAAAAAAGAAAAACATAGACAATATGTTCCATAAAATGAACTTTAGTAGTTTAAAAGCAATTGTAAAAAGGCACTGCTTATTTCTAATTCAATTTTTTGGCACATGCATTTGAGTTCAAACCATAAATGGTTTTACTTTCGAAGGATTTGGGGAAAAACTAATTATTTAACATAAAAACACCACAATTATCTGGATTTGAGATCACAACACTGAAACGACACTCATTTATGATGCCGTATACACACATGTTTCGTCTGCAACACCATTGACATTGGTAAAGTTTTTGGAAGTGTATTTTGAACACACTAGATCACAACCAGGCACATCGTTAGCTTTGTTGCATAAATTACAACTGTAATTTTCTGTAAACATGAAAGAAATACAATTACTACAAGTAAGAAATTCCTTACTATGCCCTATTTAATAGTCTTTCGTTACCTTTCATCAATTTGCCAACCAATAAAATATCTTCAATTGTCAACAATTGGGAAGAAAGATTCCAGTATCTTTCAATGTCATGTATCTTTTCAGCGATGTTGAGTATATTCATCCTTGGAAATGATGATTGAATTTGGAATAACTTCATGCCCAATAGATCCAAAATAACATTGCTAATCTGTAGCTCTTGAAATTCGGCAAAAGATAAAATACCAAAGAATTTTGCGATGTTTTGAGATGAATAAACTTTATGAAGATGTCAATGTTATATTTTGCAATCAGTTTTTTCATTGACTTGTCCGTGAAATTTCTTGCCACTTCATAAGAGCAATTACTTACGAAATTTGACAAACTTAATACGTTGTATTGAATACCAGGTTGAAGATATTCAATAAAGGCAACAAGTTCTACAATTCGAGCCACTTTTATTTCGATCAATTTGCCTTGCTCTACTTTCATTTGAAGTGTTTTGAAATCCATTTTCAAGGAATACAGCACAGCTAATGACATACGAGTGTAAAAAGCCATTTCAACGATCGTTACATTAAGCAATTCACCATACATCTTAATCGTGAGGTTATAAGGGATTTTGTCAACATTATCTAATTTCCCAAGAAAGATCCGAAACATTGTAGACTTGCAAGTCTCTCTAATGTCCCAAAAATAATGTTTGGCAATATCGATTGGTGTTATTGAGTAGAGTTTAGCAATCGATTGTGGATAAAATGCCCAAGTTCTTACTACATCAACTGGTTTTACAGTCGAATAAAACGCTTTAATGATAGAAAACAGATTTCTGGTGCATAGCTCGTGATGGTCATAATGTGTCGTTATCTGTTTGTGGATTTCTTCAATATTCATGGTATTCATTTTTCGCAATTGAAAATCTTCTCCTAATGGTTAAAAATTGCCAAAGTCTCAATTCATTGAGAAGCAAAAAGTCGTTTTGGAGACACCAAGGGTTTTTTATATCGTAAGGGTTTGGTCATTTAATTTATCACAAGCTCATCTTAAGTATATTGGCAGCCTGAATTTTACATCCGTATATGAATTGCAGCTTTTATGGAAACGGCCTTACCTGACATAACTTTATCAATGAATGGCATAAACTGTGACACATTTAAATATACACCATATTTATTTGGTCTTGCGCAACCAATACCCCAACTGACAAGACCATGTACTCTCCACGTGTCTGCATCATGATCATCACATTGCAAAGGCCCACCGCTATCGCCATAGCACGTATCATTCCCTCCTCGAGAGAATCCAGCACAAAAGTACGTATTCGGTATACTGTTGTTGTATGACACATTACTGTTACATCGGCCATTATTACGCTACATGTAATTTGCCGTTCATTTAGGATTGCCATCATTACGCTACATGTAATTTGCCGTTCATTTTATTACAGAAGACAGAGCAGAAAAAAGCTCGCTCGGAAGGACTAATGCGAAGTATAGCGGGTCATGTTCAGGCTTGGCAGGAACAATTGCAAATTTGTGAACGTCATATGGAAACATTAATTGGTGACGCGTTATTGTCTGCTGGCTGCCTTTGCTATCTTGGACTTTTGAAGCAAGAAAAACGCGATCAACTGCTTCAACAATGGATTGTCACTTGTATTGGTGATGAAAATGATGGCGAAAATGATGAAAATGATATCGTGAATGATTGTCGGGACTTGAAACCGAAAGTAACCGCGTGTCCTATGGTAATTAATGATCCATCTCCATTTGACTCTGAAGATGACTACCGCTAAGGTTGTCGAAACGTCAGTCAACAACAACAAAAGCAGTCTTTCTCAGGTCCATACCAACCTGGACGATCTACATCTACAAACATGTATTTATTCACCCAAAACTGTTGTTTTCGTATGTTTTTCACAAAACAGCTGGAATGTCGTTTTTTCTTTCGAATTATGGATGTTTAAGACAAACTATTTGTTGGTTATTTTAACTCATCTTTTCAACTTTTATTAGAACGACATGCTGTTTCATGAGCTACGCTTTTTTTCACTCCCCTCTAGAAAAACATACTTGAAATGGTGATCAACATGAATGAACATCTTCTGGAGAACGACAAAATATCTGAGAATCTTAAACATTGTGAAGAAACGTGTCGTTTGAGCATACATCAATTAGAAGAATCGAAGGTATAGAAATCAAATGTTTCAATTTTTTATAGAGGTGTTTTTTACATTTTTGGCCATTTTTTTACTTGTTAAGCTATCAGTAAGATATTTGATCGTCATTTTACGTACGGGAATGTAAAACCTACCAAAGATATTTTGTGCAATTAAAATGCCTGAAATGGAAAGCTCTTGCAAAAGATAAACATAAATATTTTGCCCTGCGCGTATCGTGATATTCAACAACTTTTCCCTGAACTGTTCTCGCCATATCCGGGTTAAATAAATGAGAGGAGCGGAATTTTTCAAGTCTTTCCATGCAAATTCCTGAATTTCCCAACATGTCAGATAAGAAAATCCGAATGAAACTGCTAAAACTTTTATGCAATCTTAAGAAAGAAATTTAATGCCTAAATATCGACAATCACCGTGGCTGTTTTTGAATTTCAATGATCTTTTAAATGAAAAAAGCTTAAGCTTATTTTGACGGGTCGCATTTTGTCCAACCAGTGAAGAAAAACGTATAAAATATCTAGTCAATTTCTTACTTCTACAAAAAGTTTATTTAATCTTAATTCTAATTACATTGACTACTTTATTTTATTCTACTTTAATACGATATAACTTTACGATATAATAGTTAAAATTCTTACTTTATAAGTTATTTTACAGTTATAGATTGTATTCACAATATAGATCTTAGAATCAATACATAATTCAATTCAAATTCTATGCAAATAAAATCTATGTAATTAATTGCTGAAAGTCGCTATTTTGTTCATATTAATTGTCTTTCCACCTTGGACAGTGGGCAAGATCCCCAGACGGAAAGCAAAGATATAGTTGAGACTATATCTTTGCTTTCCGTCTGGATCTTCATCCCTGACATTGTAGCATAAATTGGAACAGTATCTTTACTCTTACTGCTGTGAGTTTCCTTCACAAGTTCGACATTTTCACTTTCATTAACTTCCGCCGATGTCGATTCTGTACTTTCCTCGATGTTATCATCGTTATCCTATTCAGAAATGTTTTAATATTCTAAAATGTTTTTGAAGAAATGTTTTTATTTTATTTCTTCCATGAAAATCCCTTGCTTTTGATTTTGATTTTTTCAAATTTTTTTTGCGTTTCTTCTGCTTCTGGGAATCTTGTTTACTTTTCACTGATGTTGTAGCATTAGTTGAGACTGTATCTTTGCTTTCCGTCTGGGGATCTTGCTCATTTTCCCCTGACATTGTAGCATAAATTGGAACAGTATCTTTACTGTTACTGCTGTGAGTTTCCTTCACAAGTTCGACATTTTCACGTTCATTAACTTCCGCCGATGTCGATTCTGTACTTTCCTCGATGTTATCATCGTTATCCTATTCAGAAAGAAACTCATATTCACTACTTTTTGTTAAGTGGAAAGATTTTTCATAAAACATACTTCACTCTTTTGGAAAATATTTTTATATAAATAGTATCCAAGAAATGCGGATCCAACGGCAGCAATAGTGCCGAGACATACATTTCTTGTCAATCCCATTGTTGAACAACTGTATCACAAATATTTACTCTCGATGAAAAAATAGCTCTGAACTGCTTGATATGTAACCGCAAAATGATGATTAATGAGATTATGACATTTTTAATTGTTTGGCAAGCGCAAATTAACGCGTAGAATCGTTTGTTACGTAATAAAATTCAATGCGCGTGCGCATTTTAATTTTCGCCGTCACGAAATTGAAGTGTATTTTGATATATCTGTGATTTGCCACCGTAAACATCCTCGTTTTCATTCCTGTAGAAACAAGTTTTGCTTCCAAACAGACCTATTGTATTCTGTGAGATGTACAATATTTTATGTTTCCCAACAAATTTTCTTCATGCTGTTTTCTAGTTTTAGCTAATAGCTACCAAGCCTGACAAACCTTGCAAACATTGTCAAAAAAGCTGTGTTTCTGCAATAGTATTTTCTTGTTAAATTTAAAGTTAAATTTCGAAGCTAAAAGTCAAATTACTGCAATTATGTTAAAAAGTTAACTCATAAGGAAGCTTTTTATGTATTTTTCACCAAGAACAAAACCTACTTCTCTTTTTTGAGACCGCCAACTGTCATCGGTATCTGATATCTGAAACATTAACTCAACTTTTATTAGGCATCTGGTACCTGAAATATCAACTCATCATTGCTCATGACTGTTGTTTTAATCAGTAGTTGATCCTCTATTTCTTTAAAACTATTTTTTATCACCTGGTGTGATGTAATAGAACAATCTCAACGAATCTGTTTTATTTAGAATAATAATTTTCACGGTATTTTTTTATTCTTCAACTAGGCACTACAAGCAATATCAAAAGACAAGGCCGAAGACTACACACATGTTTCAGAACACGCTGCCGCAATATCTCTTATTATATCTAGCCTACCCCAATTGAATGTCTATTACCAGACACCGTTTCATACGCTCATTGACCTTGTAAAGGACGTTATTAAACAACGAAGACGAGGAAAGCAATCATCTGGCTCGTCATTGGCACGATCTACCGAACTAATTACCTATATCACTAGAGCTATATGCAAAAAAATGGCTAAATCTCTCTATTTAGGTATGCTTATTCACCATGCCATTGTTGTAGACACTAGGAATATTCAGTGCAAAGTAGTTAATGTACCATTTTCGCAAATTATTGCAAAAATTTTACAACATACATTTGTTTTAGTAGTAAAGAGATGTGCTAGTGATTCTGATGAAAGATGGAAGCTTGATGAAATAAT